TTGTGTGTGCCCGTGTGTCCGTCGAGTGTGTGTGTGTGTGTGTGTGTGTGTGTGTGTGTGTGTGTGTGTGTGTGTGTGTGTGTGTGTGTGTGTGTGTGTGTGTGTGTGTGTGTGTGTGTGTGTGTGCGCGTGCAGGCAGATTAAGGACCAGTCGAAGAAGATGTCCAACCTGAAACACATGGAGCAGCTGGAGAAGAGCAGGAACGCCCAGCTGATGGACGACGCCAAGAAGAGAGAGGACAACCTGAACCAAAGCTCCCAGCAGATCAAGGTGAGAAGGGAGGAAGAGGAGGAAGAGGAGGGATGAGTGGGAAGAGGAATCTGGGAGTTTACGCAGGGAGATGGGTGGAAAGAAAGTAAGACAGAAAAAGTTTCTCTCCTTCTCTCCGTCCTACCTTGAATAATGTCTGCTCTCACAACAACGGTTCATCATAACGTGACAATTGCGACAGGAAGCAGCCTGAGGCAATGTCAAACACACTCCTCTCACACACACACACCATGCAGCTCTCGCTTTGGGAGTATGACGGGTAACTGAAGGGGATGATTGACATCCTGTGGAGAGGAGAGGAACATGGTCGTAGCAGTGAAGAAGAGGAAGGAGCTGAGGTGATTAGAGGAGGAATAAAGGACACACACACTGAAACATGCAGTGAATGCTGTGGGTTTGCGTGGAGTGAGAACATCTCCTAATTGTCTGCCGAGGTGTGGATCAACCACAACATGAACAGCCATGTGTTTTCGTTTTTATCCTATTTCAGGATTCCTTCATTACTTTTATGTTCCTTTTCTTTCTCGTCCATCTTCGTCATCCTCCTCCCTCTTCTCTTCCAGTAATCACAACCTCAGTGCTCAGTGGCCGATGAGAGGCAGATGAAAACACTCTGTGTGTGTGTGTGTGTGTGTGTGTGTGGCTGTGATGGACCTTTGGTTTAAGGAGTTGGGAACTTGTCATTTCTGTGTATGCATGTGGTTAGGAGATGAGCTGAAAGCTATGTGAGTCAGTCCCACTTATGAGACCGCAGCGGTTACGACCATGGCTAGTGTGTGTGTGTGTGTGTGTGTGTGTGTCAATTGACAGCAATCCTGCATTCTTTAACCAGCACAGTTAAGGCAATGTGTGTGTAACTCAGAGCGTTTATTTAATTCAGCACAATAGGAAGATTGAACCTAATTAAAGTCCATCTCAGTCTGCATAGTTAGACAGCCAGTCATGTTGGATCTGGAGCAGGGTTCAGATGTGTTGGAGATGTCCCTGAGGTCTCTGCAGCGCCACTGTAATGTCTCATCCTCCTCTCCATCAGGTATTCATTCAACTCTAATTGAACCAAGAAGCCTGGCACAAGGCTATGGGGAATCGGTGGACAGGTCACGTAGTCGTTTTACTTGGAAACTGCTTCATGAGTGTCCTCGGAGTCCGCTGGAGGATCACATTTTGTCTAATTTGCGAATATTTTGCAGCTTATTGCAGTCGTTGGAATGAAGAGTGTCCAAGGTTTTAACCCTTGGGACGTGTTAAGCAAGATGTGACAGAGAAAGCTGTGTTACAACAACCTGATGTCATTTAGTAACATGCAGTCTTGATTTGAAGTATCCTAGACCAAGGTGTTGTACTGCATGTGAGCCAATGGATTCTCTGGCCAGTGTTTTACATGAAAAGCCTCCCATGAAACCATTTGATGACCCAGATGCCAAATTGTATAGTATATAGATGAAGTATTCGAAGGATTGTCATAAGAACTTTGTACAGACTTCTATGGTGCATAGATAATACATCCTATTAACTTCCTCTACTGCAAGCATGATGTTTGCTTTGTGGTTTCGCATTGATTTGTCCCTTATTTTTTAAGTGGATTGGAAACAAATGTGGAAATATATGCTCCCCTGACTAAAGCTTTCAGGATCTGTAAACCTTTATCTGATGTCATCATGAAATACAATATTTAATTGATCTGATACTTGGGTCCATTACAAAATACCTGCTTATGTAATTAATGTTTAAGGAGAACAATTCAATTAAACTCTGCTCATTTTCAGGTTCATATTAGCACAAACCACAACACAAGGATTGTAGCCTTTGCAGACCATGTACATGCACAGAAACCTATAGAACACACTGCAGGAGAGGAAACCCCTCAAAAGGCATCAGGGCCTCTTTCAATTATTATTAAAACCCTTGATGAGCCAAAATACAGTCACAGAACTTTACATACTATGTGTATGTTTCTTAATAAGAGCTAAATTAATAAACTGATTTTATGAGCACGGCTAAAGTTTCCGCTCTCCTCACATTGTGTGCTTTCTCTCTGCAGGACTCCCTCCGTCAGAAGGAGGAGCGCATCGAGGAGCTGGAGGAGGCGCTGAGGGAAAGCGTTCAGATCACAGCGGAGAGGGAGGTGGTGCTCGCCCAGGAGGAGCATTCACGCACACACTCTGAGAAACAGGTCAGTAGCAAACACGCACAGTATACAGTGTGCATGACTAAAGAGGATGCCTACCCAAAACCAGTTCATGTGTGACCCAAACCTTTCCCTAAACCCCTATCAGTTATTATTTGTAATCCCTCCTGAGGATTTCCTTCATTTCCCTATCTTTGCTGGGACATTTGGACACGCACACTAGGAAGCACACACAGACAAACATCTTAGGGGCGACATAGAAACCCTTTCTGACATAGCTAAACATCGCTTTGCCAAAGGTGGCTAATGGCAGAGGCAGAACGCCCTGTGCCAACTGAGCTCATTCAGGTGTGTGTGTGTGTGTGTGTGTGTGTGTGTGTGTGTGTGTGTGTGTGTGTGTGTGTGTGTGTGTGTGTGTGTGTGTGTGTGTGTGTGTGTGTGTGTGTGTGTGTGTGTGTGTGTGTGTGTGTGTATATGTGTGTATGTTTGCCCAGAGGTAAATAAATCCCTATTTAAAGAACAGCTTGTATTTTGTCCACTTCAGCTCAAGCGCACAAACAGCTATGCCTCAAATTCAGTACGAGCCCCACCACTCCAATTTGTAATATTTGTTATCTATATTAGGACAGTAGCAAAGCTCATAGTGGTGCTGAGGGAGGCTCAGGAGGGAAGGGTTTAATGGATTCCACCTCAGACCAGAGGGAGTGTGTGTTCCGCTCCCCTGGGTGCCAGAGACGTAACGAGGGCATGGAGATGGGAAATGTTCCTCGGAGCCTGGATTGGTTTTGACAAGTGGGAAAAAACAGCGTGTGCTGTAGGCATGAAAACTGCTCTGAGAAAATACACCCTGTAGCTGTTGGCAGTGCAGCCGGCTGATTGTTGCTCCTGCCTCTCTGTTGGCCGTCCTCTCTGACCTCTGCTCACCAGGCTGCTTCTGGACAGACACATACAGACAGGCCTGCAAACACACATGTTACTGCTCACACCCTCACCCAGGGTTAATGTTGGTGGGGGCCACACCAGTATAAGCCCCTAAGGTGCTAAAGAAAAAAAGAAGATGACACACTGCTTTGGATATTTCTTTTGTAGGAATGATGCTACTGAAAATACATTTTTGGAGATTTGATTCTAGAAATGTGATGCAGCTGTAGTGATTTGAGAAAGCAGATACATAATGTGTGCATAGAAATAAACATACAAATCATGTTCCTGAGCGCAAATCATTCAGAGTCATGAGCATACAATAAATAACATTTGTGCAGATTTATTACCTTCGAAAAAGACATCCTTTTTACTGATCTGATAATGGTTGGTTACAGAAAGATCATGGTTAGGTTGACATTTCTATTTAGTTAATGATAGCAGGATTTCACCATGAATGGAATTATAACTTTGTGTTGAAGTCAGAGTTTTGTGGACACACCCATCCAACCCGACCTCCTCACTGTTTTGTCGCTCTATAATTAGACACTCCAGAAAAACGCGGGCAAAAATCCTTGATTATGCGGGCTAAATTCCTTGATTATGCGGGCTAAAATCCTTGATTATGCGATTACGTTAAGTTGCGATTAAACATGCGGGGTTTTATGTGATTTTATGCGGTGAAATTGCGGGAAGTTAGGAAATATGCGGAAAGTTGCGAAATATGCTAAATATGGGGGGGAAAAGAATAACCATTTTTTTAAAATATTGGGCTGTCTTATTTATTCTCTCTCACACACAACCTGCCACTAACGTTAAACCCCTTTACTATTCAATTAAACACATTCAATGTTTATTTATTGTAAAAGCAATTGGGCTATTTTAACCCTCCCACACACACACACACACACACACACACACACACACACTTCTCCGCCTCATTCTGTTTTCATTTACTCGTTCGTTATCTGACCAG